TACGTACGTACTAACGAACTACTACTCTCTCTCTCTCTCTCTCTCTCTCTCTCTCTCTCTCTCTCATACACACGCACACACACAAATGTAGGGTTTATGTGGCCATTAAATGTTTTCAGAGAGCATATAATCAATATTTAATATAGTGAATCAAAGAACTCCAGTGGGAGTATGGTCCCGAGGGACCAAGAGATTATGGTCTTGAGGAACCGAGAGATTGTGTTCCAAGAGACCAAGAGGTTATGGTCCAGAGGGATCGAGATAGGCAAAAGCTATTTGCCGATAGTCAGACTTGGCTTGACGAACTAGGCCAGTCGAGTTGGAAAAACCTCAAAATATCTGGGCATTGCGCACAACTGATGATGGTTTATAGGTTATCCCTTGATGAGGTTGGAGTAGTGTCGCAAAATCGAACAAGAATAGTTAACAGGATATGGGCCCTGAAGCGGTTTAACTGGCCTAACCGGTTAACCGGTCAATTCAACCGCTCTAACCGGGCAAGTTTCGGGAGTTCATAAAAGTGTTAAAAAAAATTTAAAAAAGTGCAAAAAAAAATCTACTAAAATATAAAAAACATAGAAAGAATAATTAAAACAAAACACATTCAAATGAAGTTGAAAATTAATGAAAAATGGATTTTAATGAATCTATTTGTGCTTAGGGGTATTTTTAAAATTTTCTGAAAAAAATGGGGAAAATATAAAAGTGAGTATTAATGACCAAAACAAGTTTTAATTTTTATCATAATGTAAAGAGTACTAAAAAATGCAATACAAATCAAATTCCTTATTTTTGAGAATTTATATACTTTTTTTTCTTGTTTTTTAAATATCTACTGATCATCAAAACTGCCGAAAGCCGGTTCCTATCTAACCGAGCGATTAGCGATTAGATCGCCCGATTTTGTGAACACTGGGTTGGAGTTACCCAGGGGAGTCAGCCAAGGGACTATGTCACCCTTGTGTGTGATGGTTGACCTATAAAGACGATGGCCAAAGCCTCAACACTGAACCTTCACATGGCATGTGCATATGATATACGTATTGGAAAAGCAAGACACCATTGAGGGTGCAGCGTACACATGTGAGAGAGATTACCCCTATGCACCATAGAGCTGTGGTTGCATCCGATATTGATGACCATGGATTTGTCTTTAGGGGATAACATGTAGTCCATAGACTGGGATTATATCTCCTTGCCTATTGGCTGACCTTGATAGCCCAATCATAAACCCCTATCGTGGTCTGTGGATCGTGAGAACCGCTGGATCCGTTTGAGAAAGCAAGTGTGGATTATAGTCCACGTTAGAAGATGGAGTATTTCAAAATTATTAATTCCTAAACCTATAAGGATCCTATTCCCATCAAAATTATATGGTTTTGTTTATTTTGATGTTAATTGAATTTTAGAATGATTATTTGAATTTTATAA